AGACGTAAAGTAAACAGAAAACATAAGATTTAGATTAGTGTGATACAAGGTACNGACAAAGCAATAATTTAGTGATTGTATGATATATTTGATTAGTGAGTTAGCGAGCTAAGTTTAATGGTGAACTTTTGAAACTTATAAATACCTACTTGATAAATCATATAGTTTTGTAGAAATGCTGAGAAGAATCGCCATTTCAGAGATAAAAACAAAAAAAAAAAAGAAAAACGCTGTCTTGGGATCAAAGCTCTAGCGACGAAGGTCGGAAAAGAATTAGTATGTATACATCGTTTATCGTATGACATCATCGGACGAAAACAAAATCATGTGATCAAAATCTAGGAGAATCAGATTTAATTAACAATTAATTATTCGCAATTCTACAAAATTTTATAAAATACATTTTTTATTACAAAATTACATCTCAAATTATTTATTTATTGAAACATAAATTATATTTGAAATAAAAATTTATAGATATAGTTTATTTTCATGAATTATTTTTATCAATTATTTTCAGTGTAGCAACAATATTCAACAATGTATTTTATATAATTATATAAGTTGATTTAAGTTTTATAAGTTCATTGATACAAAATATATATATCTTTGCAATCAATATCTAAAATCGATCTGCTCGTGATTTGGTTTACTTCCAATGATTCAATTCTATGAACGATGTATAAAACTCACGATCGATGATACAGTTTTTTAACAAATTTTTTGTTTTAATTTTGAATTTCAAATTCATTATGTTTTTTTTTATACTATTCTTTTTATATTATGCGCTTTAATGTATGTAAACATCGTACATGCAATTCAAATAAAAATAATTTTTCGTGTCACATTCATCCAAAAAAAATAAATAATTATAAAATAAAAATTCAAAACTATTACATAAGAACAACTTATTATGTTTTTCTTTTAAATACATATTAAAAATTCAGAAATATAATTTTTTATATAAATATATAATTAATTGGGACATTTATAATTTTATGATTGAAATATAAAATAAATAAGTAATTTTAGCAAATACGAAACGTGTGTAATGTCTACTTTTATCAATAAATTGCAGATGTTTACATGCAAATATGTTTACGCATAACCTTTTCATTGTTGAAAACTTCAAGTTTGCATATTATCTGCGTTCCGTACTAACAATATCAAATTAATTAAAAATTAATATTTTTTCATTCTGTCAACAATAATATTAACATATTATATATGATGCACAATGAATTAATTCAAGTATATGTAATTAAAAATTAATAATAAACAATTGTTGTCTTCCTTTTTTATACAGTGCTCAAAATTATGTAATATAAATTATGTAACAAAAAAATACGTGTAAAAAAAAATGAAAGAGTAAATTATACTGATTTTAACATTTTTAATTATTTCTAATGAAAATAATAATACGGAACGCGTAAACTATTTTTTGATCAAACGATATTCTTTTTCGAAAGATTTAAGTAATAATTTTTAAATAAGTAATATTCCCAAGGGCGTTTCAGCTCATAAAAATAACTTTAAAAAGTCCCAAGACTGATAATGGATGCATGCACATGTATTGCTCCGATTTATTTATTTTAACCATGTTTAAATGAGCTCAAAGCTTATCTTATGGAAGTCATTTTTAAATGTTCTAACTTCATGGATAATGTATGAGAGAAGAGAGAAAGAGAGAGAAAAAGAAAAAATGAATTAAGAGAGAGAATGAATGAAGAATAATATTTACACTCATATAAACATTTATTATTTTTTTTTAGTAAATATTCCTTTATTTTTTCTAGAAATGAATAATGTACAATTTATTATTCATCGTTAATGAATTTTTTATTAATAGTAGTTTAATAATTTAATTTTGAGATATTTCTTATAGACACAATAAAATATAATACATTCGTGATGCTACAAAATTCAGTAAGGATAAAAAAATTTGCTTCTAGAACCATGAATTTCACTGGCAAAAAAGACCTTCGTCGTAAAACATTTTCAATCTTGTCATAAATAACTATATATGAAGTTTATATATCAGGAACGCAAGTAAAATCATGTTCATTTTTTTCAATTGATCTACTTTTCATTAAATAATGTAATTTTAGTATTAACAAGGATCCAATTTACGCACATATGTGCACATATTATTTTTCATTGAAATTCCGCCAAAGCGAAATCCAACAATTAGCGATAAAAAAAATAGTAATACCAAATTATCAATGTACTTACAATATTAAGGATAAAAGTTTAATTGCACTACATTTGTAAACTTTATTAATTATACGTTGCAAAAAATGATATGAACAAAAGTTGTTATTCATTTTACCTAATTCATTACTTTGCTTATTTCGTCTTAAAAAAGACAATAAAAATTACATGACCCTTGTTATACTATCACTTTGCGTCCAGAAATCACATTGTTTTATATTACTATGAGAAAATTATATACTATTATAAGAAGATCTGTTTAATAATTTATGTCCATTATTATGCATTTTTTTACACAAGTTAGTTTTTGTTACCAAAGGACACTTTGTCATGTAGTAAATAATCTTTATATTAAAGACAAGAAATATTAGATCGATATAGAAAATTTTTTTGTAAAACAGTACTTAATTTCATTGGTACTTAGAAGCTTTATATATTGCAAATTATAATGTTATCGTTAATGAATACTATGGAGTGCATACTCATATATCACTACTTATTACAATTATGTATTTCAAACTATAATACAAAGTACTTAACAGGCTATAACCCATGGTATGGTTTATAATCGCTGTTGTGGTTGATTTTGAGAACTCAATCCCGAAACTGTTTCTGGTGGAGAATCTGTTCTTTCACCTTTTTTTTCACTCTCTCTCGATTTGTTCCATTCTTGTAAACCTTTTGGTAAAGTCGTGTCTTCTTCGAATGATCCTGTACCTTCCACGAATTGTTCATAAGTTGACTTTTCAGGGAAGGGTCTAGGACCTAGTAACTCTATCATGTCTTCTCTACTCAAAATTTCTTGTTTTAATAATCGTTCAGCCACCTGAAATAAAATTAATTCATTTATTATTATAATAATAAAAATTAATTAATATTTTTAATAAATATTAATCCAACATTTTCTATACCTTAGATACATCTTCCTTATGTTGCGTAAGTAAATTGCGTGTGTGAGTATGCGCTTGTTCGATTAACTCACGTACTTCATTATCGATAAGTTGGGCCGTATGTTCCGAATATGGTTTATCGAAAGTCATTTCGCCTTGTTGTGGCATTTGAAAACTAACATTGCCAACTTTTTCGTTCATACCATATTGAATAACTTGAGCATATGCATTTGAAGTTACCTAATAATAAAAAAAAAAGTCAATAGAACAAATTATTTACATGCATAATTATGAAAAAAAACTACATAGCAAAATAATACTTTTTGTAAATCATCTTGCGCTCCTGTAGTAATACGACCAAAAAAGATTTCTTCCGACACTCGTCCACCGAGTGCCATACACATTCTATCAAACAATTGTTCCTTTGTATAAAGATACTGTTCATGAGGTAAATACTGTGCGTAACCTAAACCTTTTCCACGAGGAATTATAGAAACCTGAAATATAAAAAATTTAAATAAAATTATAAAATTAAAATATTTTGAAAATCTAAAAATTACCTTTAGAAGTGGATCTGCGTATTCCAAAAACCAACCTGCTACTGCATGACCAGCTTCATGATACGCAACCGTTTTTTTTTCTTCCGGTTGTAAAACATTTGTCTTTTTTTCCATGCCAGCTATAACTCTTTCAATAGCCTGTTCAAAATGTTTTAAATGTATATTATCATTTAAATCTCTTGCTGCTATTAAAGCCGCTTCATTACAAACATTAGCAATATCAGCTCCTGAAATCAATAACTTATAATATTTAGCATATAAATCTTTAATGTATAATGTATTCTTTCGAAAAATATTACTGATTAATTTCTATGTTTTTACCTGTAAATCCAGGTGTTAAGGAAGCCATTTTTCTAGCTAATTGATCTTTATCTAATGTGATTTTTAAAGGTTTTAAATGTACTTTAAAAATAGAAGCTCGACCTTTAATGTCTGGAGCAGGAACATAAATTTGTCTATCAAATCTTCCAGGTCGTAGTAAAGCTTTATCTAAAATATCAATTCTATTAGTTGCTGCTAACACAACTACATTAGTAGTTGTATTGAAACCTAAAAAAAAAAGAAATATTATTTAATCAAAAATAAATTTATATTATATAATAAATAATGTTATCAATAATTATAACATACCATCCATTTCAACTAAAAGTTGATTAAGTGTATTTTCTTGTTCTGAATGGCCACCAAAATTTTTGCCTCCTCTTTTTCTACCAACGGCATCGATTTCATCAATAAATAATATACATGGAGCATGTTTCCGTGCCAATGCAAACATATCTCGAACTCTTGATGGACCAACACCAACGAACATTTCCAAAAATTCTGAACCTGATACACTAATAAAAGGTACATTTGCTTCACCAGCTGTAGCCTTAGCTAATAATGTTTTACCAGTTCCAGGTGGACCTATAAATATGAATTTTATGCTATTATCTTAAACTTTAAAACTATTTAAAACTATTTAAAACTTATTTAAAATTTATTTAAAATTAAAAAAAAGACTTCTTATAATTACAATATATTTATAATTATGTATATTAAATAACTATATTTAAAAAAAAGACATTTATATTTACAATATATATGTGTATAATATATATGTGTATAATATATTTACCTGTCAACATTGCACCTTTAGGAATTTTAGCACCAAGTTCCATATATTGTTGTGGATTTTTTAAAAAATTTACAAATTCCATAATTTCAATCTTAGCTTCTTCACATCCAGCAACATCTCTAAATTTTTAATAATATAAAATTAATAACATAAAAATACAATAATTATAAAAATAAAAAAATAACTAAAATATTACTCAAACTTATATTCTTAAAAGATATAAATATACAATTCTACAATTGTATACAATTTTTTTCTACTCTTTTCTACTACTATAAATTGAATATTTCTTAATTGTTTTATCTATATATTTACTATATTAATTATTTTACTTATTTTACTTAATTTTAATTATTATACTTAATTTTTTACTTATATATTTACTATATATTTACTTTTCTTTTATATATATTTTTGTTATTTAATATTTCTTGGTTTCATTTAATTTTTAATTCTAAGTTCTTTAATTTTTCTAATTTTCTTAATTTTCTTTATTCTAGATAAATAATATAGCAGAAAAGTTCAAAATAGAAAAAAATTGTCTACAATTCATAATACTCTTTTAAAACTATACAGTAAACACTATATAATATATTTCATATTTCTATCAATTTACTTAAATCGAACACCAATATCTTTGGAATTAATCAATTTTGCAGTTGATTCCATTAATGCACCAAAAAGTCCACCTTTTCTTCCTTTACCAAATGATTCTGCTGATTTACGGAACACATAGAATAAAAGTCCTAGAAAATAGTGATTAATATCATATTTAACTTAAACAAAAAAATCCTGATCTGTAAAAAATAAAAATAATATTTAATATTATAACTTACCATACATGAACAATTGTGGTAAAAGCTTTAAAATATGATGTAATTCTACCTCATCCTTATAATGCACTAAAATATAATTTTGTGGTTCTACATTTAATTCAATTTGTGCATTTTCTAAATTTCTTTCAAAAGTTTCAACACTACCAATATTAAACCACAAAGAATCCTATAAAATAAATTTAATGATTAAATTTGCATATATACTTTCATTAATTTTAATTTTTTGAAATTATTATCATTTGTTCTTATAACAAATTTTTTTTTTAATTTTATTAAATTATTTTATTAAATTATATTAATTTAATTAAATTATTTATGAACTTACTTTTCCATTCACGAAATTTCCAGGCATTAACTTTACACGAACCCATTGTTTATTGACAACTTCCACTTTGTCTACTATTCCTTTATCTAAATATCTAAATCATAAAATATTTATATGAATTTTATGAAATTTATATTTTATAGATATTTAAAAATTTAAACTAATTTAAAAAAAACTACTTAAAAAAAAATATTTGATTCATTTACTTTGTTATAAATTCTTTCCATGTAATTTCAGTTGCTTGATTTGCTAATTGTTGCAAATATAAATAAAGTAATCCCATTAATGCTATTCCAATAAAAAATAGTTTCTCGTTCTTTTTATCTCCAAATGACTTATTCCCTCCATTCCATTTAAAATCCCAAAAAAGGCGTTTATCAGGAATCGAAGAATGCATAGAGGATTTTTGAGAGTGCATTCTAGATGATTGTGATTCTGAAGTTTCTTTGGCTGATCCTTTTTTGACTTTTTCAGTAACTTTTTCAGTTGTTTTACTAGAAACTTTTTCTATAGATAAAAAATAAAGATTTTTTATGACCTATCCTTATAATCTATTTTAAAATTATTTTATAATTATAATATATTTTTATATTTAAATATTTATATTTAAAACAAATTAATAATTATAAAATAATAACTTTGTTTATAAAATTTTTCAAATCCTTTTGGTGGCTCATTACACAGTAATCTCCATTGATTTCGTATGTGCTCCATTGTACTTGTTTCATTGCCATTTCTTATTAATGATAAATATCTTCTTAACTGAAAATATTTTACAATATATATAATATAATATAAATAATATAAATATTATATTATATATATTAT